TACATACGTGTGTGAATGAATCCAAAAGGTTCTGCATATATAAAAGGAACATTTGTGATGGACATCTCAACCACTTGTAATGCAATCGAATTCCAAATAACTTGACACAACTTTATTGCTACAGGGTTTGGTGCACTAACTCTGCGGGGCTAGTCAGCCACATTTCACTTACTCGTGCCCTTGTCATGTCGGGGAGGGCGGTGTAACTTTAAAAGTTTATGAACAAACAGTTTTGACCTTATGAAACTTTGTAAAAATATCAAAACAAATAATGATGAAGTATTCTGCCGTAAGATATTAATATATATATATATATATATATATATATATATATATATATATATATTATATATATATATATATATATATATATATATATATATGTATATACATACACATATATATATATACATATATATACACATATGTATATATATATATATACATATATATATATATATATATATATATATATATATATATATATATATATATATATATATATATATATATATATAATCTATTAAAGATATGTCGGAATTGCACTACATGTAATAAATAACGTTTCTCTTGTGACAACAGAAAAACTCGCTTGCGGCGTGGAATGCAGTAACAGAGAGAGAGAGAGAGAGAGAGAGAGAGAGAGAGAGAGAGAGAGAGAGAGAGAGAGAGAGAGAGAGAGAGAGAGAGAGAGAGAGGAGAGAGAGAGAGAGAGAGAAGAGAGAGAGAGAGAGAGAGAGAGAGAAGAGAGAGAGAGAGAGAGAGAGAGAGAGAGAGAGAGAGAGAGAGAGAGAGAGAGAGAGAGAGAAAGAAAGAAAGAAACAGAGAGAGAGAGAGAGAGAGAGAGAGAGAGAGAGAGAGAGAGAGAGAAGAGAGAGAGAGAGAGAGAGAGAGAGAGAGAGAGAGAGAGAGAGAGAGAGAGAGAGAGAGACGTATTTCCTCTTCATGAATCATTTATACTCTGTTTGCCTCTTTTTCCTCTCTCCCTCACTCTCACTCTATCTTTCTCTCACACACACACACACACACGCACACACACACACACACATACACACACGCAAGCAGCAACTTCAGTTAAAGGAAAAGATGACAATAGAACCACAAATTGACAACAGCATTACACGCCCGTATCGGCAACGCTAAAACCGATAACGGACCCTCATTCTCCTGCAGCGGGAAGGCGGAGGGCGCGCGTGTGTGTGTGGATTCCGATAATGACATTACAACACTTCGATAATACTATTACGTCCATTCAATAAGGAAATTATGATGACCCAAAACATCATCCTCTTAACTGAGGAAAACAATTTTGGAGATGGAGTAGTGAGGTCGCCAGGGGCGGGCGGAAGGCGAGGGAAAAGGAGAAGCGAAGGGAAGGAGGAGGAGGAGAGGCGAAGGGAAGGAGGAGGAGGAGAGGCGAAGGGTAGGAGGAAGAGGAGAGTCGAGAGTACGAAAATTAAGGAAAGATAAGGCTGGAGGAGGGTCGGAGCCGACAAGGAAGGAGAGGACTCGACACGCTTAGTTGAACTCTCGGGGGAAAAAAGTCTATTCGATGGAAAATTAAATTACATCCGTGGGAGGACAGAAGAGGGGAGAAAACAGACGGGAAACCGAGTAGAACAAACTGTAGGCAATAAGCAAAAAAGAAAAAGTGAACAGTAAAAGAAGATGGAATATAAGGATCACAAAAAGCAACGGATAAAATCGTCAAGGGCCACGCAATATCGTTCTATCGCACGTACATTAATACAACCAAATACATGTACCCATACGTATGTATGGGTACATGTATTTGGTTGTATATATGTGTGACAGAAAGATATTTCCATAAAACTGAAATTTCTTTTGTCATATATACCTTCCTTAATACAGTCTCATATGTTAGAGTCACGATAACGGAGTATTCTGACAAATTCTTCCATAAATAATTCTCCCTGAAATGTACACAGTGTCGCTGACTAGCAAAGCCCTTCCTGTTGTACACGCACCTAAGTACACATAAAAAAACATATGTAATTATGACTTCCTGAATATCTACACGATAACCACACGTCTGCTAACGACCTCTATACATCTATGACATAACCAAGAGCAGGTATAAATAACGCGTCATATATTTTTAGAACCAACTGCCTTAATAACGACTCTTACACACCTACAACGCGGCCATTTAGCAACCACGCAGCGCTGCCACGGTAGTTAAACAGGACCCAGTCGGCGCACATCCCGGCGGCGAAGGCTTAATCATGGCCCGGGAATGGAGGGGCGAGTGGGAAGAATTTGCCTTTGGGGAAGAGGGAGAAGGAAGGAGGGAGGGGGAGGGAGGGAAGGATAAAGGGAGGGAGTGAAAGAGAAATGGGGAGAAGGAAGGAGGGTGGGAGAGTGAGGAGAAGGAAAAGAGGGAGGGAGGGAGGGATACAGAGCGGGAAAGGAAAAGGAGAGGAGAGAGGAGAGAAGAGAGAGAGAGAGAGAGAGAGAGAGAGAGAGAGAGAGAGAGAGAGAGAGAGAGAGAGAGAGAGAGAGAGAGAGAGAGAGAGAGAGAGAGAGAGAGAGAGAGGGGGGGGGAGAATGAGAAGAGAAGAAACGAGGAAAGACTGGAAGGAGGAGGCGAGGAAGCGGCCCTTGTGCTTAGGGCGCGACATCTCAGGTAGGAAAACAATAGTCCTCGCCTAGGATGGTCAGGACAATGGCTAGCAAATATCTAACAATATGCTATTCATCGCTTACTGAAAGTCGCTTTCAGTGTATCAACAATGCGCTGTGTACAAAACAGTAGGCTATAAAAACGCGAAATGGAACAGACTGACTTTTTTTGCCCATTTCTAGGTTCTATCCCCCTTTTGCTTCTATCCCCTCCCCTTTTTGCGCCTCTTCTCTCTCTCACTCACTCACTCTCACCCCCACTCACGCTCTCATATTCATATTCACACTCACTCTCTGTCTCCCTCTCTCTCCCTCACAGATAACTGTACGTGTATCTTTATATACATACTATTCATAGCCCTGTATCCCCTACATTTTCACCGACTCGCCCACGGTACATAATAAATCACACCCCGGTACCCCTAAGTAGCAATATCCCTTTCTCGTTTTCTTCCATCAGGAGAAGATAGGATATGCGGGATGGGGGATCCTACCAATGAATGAAGAAAATAGGGAGATGATGATGCCGTTGTTCGTGCTCTATCTCTTACTTTCTCTCTCTCTCTCTCTCTCTCTCTCTCTCTCTTGTCTTTCTATTTATGAAACTTTTTTTTTCTTTTTTTCACGTGCAGTACCCTAGTGTTTCTGATTATAAAACTTTATTTTGATTTTTTCACGAGCAGTACCCCAGTTTTCTGATTGTGAAACTTTATTTATTTCCATTTTATTAATTTTTCACGTGCAGTACCCCAGAAGGAGAGAAGTGGGATGTGAAGGAGAGGACCTTGGTCGAGTGTTCTCGGCACAACTACATTGCGTCATATTCCCCTTGACATTCGACAGGCAATCTGCCATTACTTTACCCACCCGGAGAATGAGGAAGGGAAGGAACGATCCGTGAGTGTAAAAATTAAACACATCAAGATAAAAAGAAGGGAAGAAGGAGAAAGAAAGAGTCTATATCATACAACAGAAAAAATATCCTACATGCTTCCCTTCATAATCCCCCACTTGGAGAATGAGGAAGGGAAGGAACGATCCGATCTAAAAATCAAATAGATCAAGATAAAAAGAAGGAAATGCGGAGAAAGAAAAGGCCTGCATCACCCAACAGAAAAAAATATGATCACACAATTCATCCCCCACTTGGAGAATGAGGAAAGGAACGATCCGTAAGAGTAAAAATTAAATAGATCAAGATAAAAAGAAGGAAAGGAGGAGAAAGAAAAGGCCTGCATCGTCCAACAGATATAAAAATGATCACACAATCTCACAGAAACAACAAGCCAGTCGACAATAAACACGCCGTTAAGTGAGTGTTCCGTCTGTGTTCAATATACTGGGTGGAATTATCGGGCCAACCCCCCTCTCCCTCCCCTCTCCGTTTCCTCCCGAGAGAATCATTGCTGAGGGAAGAGGAAGAGGACGGGGGAGGGGAGGGGGGAGCACACCAAGGACGGGATATCGCAACGGAAACCACTCGAAATAAATTATATTGAAAGAGAAAACCTCTCTCTCTCTCTCTCTCTCCTCTCTCTCTCTCTCTCTCTCTCTCTCTCTCTCTCTCTCTCTCTCTCTCTCTCTCTCTCTCTCTCTCTCTACTCTATATATATATATATATATATATATATATATATATATATATATATATATATATATATATATATATATTTTTTGACTGAACGAGGCTTCCCTCGCTAAACTCTTTAACATCCTGATGCGAACCAACTGCTACTCAGATAAACGAACTTTTTTCCACTGAGCGTTGCATGGTCAACGGACCTGCATTAAAGTGGAGAGACGGGAGAGAAGTGGAGATAAATAGAGGTGGGAACGACGGTACGTAGTGTGTGTGTGTGTGTGTGTGTGTGTGTGTGTGTGTGTGTGTGTGGTGTGTGTGTGTGTGTGTGTGTGTGTGTGTGTGTGTGTGTGTGTGTGTGTGTGTGTGTGTGTGTGTGTGTGTGTGTGCGTGTGTGTGTGAGTGTGTGCTTGTGTGTGTTTGCCTGTAAGAGCGCGTGTGCGTGCGTTTCTCTGCGTACGTGTGTCAGTATACATGTATATGCACATTTGTCTATCTGTCTAACCACCTACATGTAGACAACAAGAAAGTAAGCGAGAAAATACGAAGACAGACTAAAGCTAGAGAAAGGAATAATAGAAGAAAATAAAGACTTTGGGAGAAAACAAAGAAACAAACAAACGCCACCGAATATCCCGTTCCTTAACTACAGTATTACATTTAGCTGCAGGTAATATCTTTCATATTGGATATATTGGAAAGACGTCAACTTTAAAATTGTCTCTGCAGAGAATTCTATTTACGTGTATTGAGTGTATAAATCCACGCACATGCATACTTATGGCTGCACCTACATGTGTACGAATGTGTGTGCGAGTATGTGTGCGGATCTGTGTTCCCGTGACTGTATTTGTGTAAATGCACGAGTGGAAATGCTGGCAAATACAGGAAATACATATGAATTCAAACATGTATACACACAACTACACCCACACACCCACAAACACACACACACACACAATCACACACGTATGTATATATAATTTACAAATCTACATCATTCTGTTTTAGGTCGTTAGCACTCTAATTAAAAACTAAAAAAAAAATGCAAGCAAGCTTATCACGGCCTCATTAAACGGCACCGAGCTGCACATTGCGGCACCCCGACCCGCCCGGTGCCATGTCCACGAATCGTTGCGGGCCGAGAGACGCATGGCGCTGCGTGTGTGTCTCCGCCGCACGCACGATGGATGCGCTGCTTACGAATCATTACTTTGGCCACGATGCATCCGAGGGGTTTATGGGTCGAGAAGGAAAAGGAATGTTTCATGTGTCAATTACTTTTATAGAACCCGAATCAATGGTGCGTGTACAGAGGGTAGGAAGGGGAGAGGGGGGAGAAGGAGTGGGAGGGAGAGAATGATGGACAGACAGACAGGAAGACAGACAAGCAGACAGATAGAGAAACATATAGATAAGTGAATATACAGAAAGATAGACAGACAGTGACACAGAGACAAAGACAGATACAGAGAAAGAGACGGAAAGACAGGAAATCCACCCAAAATGCTGGAGGACTGTAAATACGTTCTCGCAGACGTGCAACGGTTATTTCAGCCCGCCGGCCACCCCAAGCGGAAGATATATCCTCCTGCCAATAGAAACCAGGCTAACGTAGGAGTAGCCGGGCAGCATGGAGCATAAATTATCTTTTCGTAAAATCTGGGTCTTCGGGAGAATAAGGAAGGCAGGAAAACGGGAATAAGAAAAAAATATATATACCGAAAAACGGGAATTAAAAAAATATGTATCCCGAAAATCGAAACGAGTAGCCGAGAAAAAATAAAGCCGTCCTGTCTATTCTCCCCTTAATCAATGCGACGCCACCGTGAAGGAATAAAAGTGACTGCCGCGTGTCCTCTTTCCTTCCGCTTTAAGACCCGCGAGCTTCCATCGCCGCCCTTTGAGTGCGTCCATTGAGCTAACGCCGCGAACGGACCTTGGGCAAACAGCTTTAAAGGGGCGAGGCAGCACAGACAGCGAGGCAAAACGAGGTGAAAAGGGGAGAGAGAATGTTGAAATAAAAGAGAGAAAGAAAGAGAAACGAGGGAACGAGGAGGAGGAGAAAGAGGAAGTGGAGCAAAAGGGAGAACGCTCAGGCGGCAACAGTCTTGAGGAACTCGGCCACCGTTGACGAAGGGGACGGGGAAGGGGCGCAGGTGAGCCGCTCCGCCGCTCACACTCACTCACCTGGCAGCTCTCACACGGACACACACACAGCCCCACGGACACACGCACACATCGGCGTAAATAAACACTCTCACAATGCCATTACAGAGCAAAGCAGCTCAGACTTCGAATCCGAGAGAACTCAAGCGGTTGAATTTTCTCCTCCATACCTCCGTCTGTCTTTCTTTCTCTCTTTCGCTTTGTTTGTCTGTCAATTTCTCTTTCTTTCTCTCTCCCTTCCTCCTCTCTCTCCTCCTCTCCTCTCTCTCTCTCTCTCTCTCTCTCTCTCTCTCTCTCTCTCTCTCTCTCTCTCTCTCTCTCTCTCTCTCTCTCTCTCTATCTCTCTCTCTCGCTTTCTCAAGAGTTCACAACATTGATCTAATCCGCATGTTACTTCCAACAACCTTTACGACGAACAGGTGCAGGGAGGAAGAGAGAGAAGGGGACTGGGAAAGGAGGGAGAGAAAGAAGATATATAAAGAGGAAAAGGGAACAAAAGATGGGGAGAATTAGAAGGGGGAGGAAGAGGAGAAAAAGAGAAATAACAAGGGAGCGAGGAAAAGCAGTAGAATAGGCAGAGGCAAGGGAGGAGAAAAAGCGAAGGAGGAGACGATTCGAAGGAGGAGACGAGGAGGACGAGCCCCGCCGTCGGAGGAGCCTCCGAGGGCGCCGTAACATCGCCGGACTGAATGGAGGAATAACGAAGGTCTGGCGCGAACTGGCGACCGAGCGGCGGCGGTCGATCAATACCTTTCTTTTGTCCCCGGTAGTACTCCCTCCCCTCCCCCCTCCTGTTGTTACTCACGCTCACAGGTACGTACACACAGGTGTCCGTGCACATGCTCTACTGACACGCTAAGGTCTGCATTATTTGTAGGCTATTCGTAACACATACAGACAGGTAGATATATGCAGACACAAAAGCATTGATTGTATTGGCAAGTGTATATACGGTATACCTATCAATCCATCTATCTGTCTGTCTATTCAAAGGTAAAAAAGGACAAGACAGACGAATAGACAGACATGAAATTAGTTATCTCCCTATGAATGGACTTCAAAACCTACACAGACGCCTAAACAAGAAAAAGAAAGAAAGAAACGGAACTGAAAACCAAAAGAAAAATGAAACGCGAAAGACTGAAAGAAAGGGTGACAAGAAGATGCTAGAAGGAAAACGGGAAAGACAAGAAGAAAAGAGAGAAGAAGCAAGGAAAGAGAAGCCGATTTGATCAAACAAAGAATCCGGTCAGAGGTTAATTCTCCGTTTAATTACTAAAGAAAAGATTGATCAAGAGACCCAATGAAAAATAGGATAAAAAATAACATAAATGCAAGAAAAAATGTTGTTAGGTAAGTCGAGATAATGTATTATTATCATTATCATCACGGTGAGCCATATAAAGAGCCACGCTGAAAAAATCGAGAATTCTCCCACCAAAGGTCTCAGTGCAGGTGCATACATACAGCTACTCAGATAGAGAAAATAGATTTAATACATGTGCAGTAACAAAGAAAGACAGAGAAAAACAGAGAAAAGAAAGAGAAAGAAAGTGACCCTACCGAAAGACTGCCGTCGGGTAAGACCGCAAGACAACAGCGCACGGTATTAGTTCACCGCAGTCGGAAACCGAGGGAGTGAGTGCAGCCGAAATGCAGTAAAACCTTTACAACAACAAAAAACAAAAAAGAAAAAGAAAAAACAAACAAACGACATCCAATAGAAAGCACACTGTAGTGGAGTTAATAAAACCGATAGTGAGGAGGCACAAGCAGGAGTGGCGGAACGAGAGCGAGCAAGGAGTTACTCCGCCAAACCTTTATTAAAAAAAAAAAAAGTCGTAGTCTCTGGAATAATCGTGAATGCACTTTTTTTTTTTTTTTTTTTTAGAGAAACGAACGCATGTCCACACGCATACATTAACATTAATTAGTAACTACAGACATGTATTTGTGGACCTCAAAATGCTAAATCTATTCCGATCCAGAGCCCTTTGAATCGTAACAAACTGCAGGCGATGAGCTATTCAATTAACAATCAAACTTACTTAAGCAATAAAAGCCAACTTTAAGAAATAATAAATTACGACAGTTTAACGCCACGAACTGGACATTACATAGAATAGCTATAAAGAAGCACGTGAGTATCTACTAGGATTTCTTCGCGAGAAATGCTTGTTTCTTGAGACACCGCGCTTTCCTCAAGACAGGTTATTTTCTATGGAGAAGAGAAAGTTTAGAGAAGCTCCTTGGGGCGCCTACATAGGGAGTAAAGTAGGGGAGGGGGGAGAGGTAGGAAGAGAAAGAGAGAGAGATGGAGGGAGACTGGGAGGGAGGGGGGAAGAGAAAAGAGGGAGGGAGAGAGGGGGTAGGGATAAAGCGAAGAATAAAGGCAAAAAAGAAGAAAGGAAGCGAGGGAAGGTAGACAGGCAGGGAGGGAATGAAAAGCAAAGAGAGAGAGAGAGAGAGAGAGAGAGAGAGAGAGAGAGAGAGAGAGAGAGAGAGAGAGAGAGAGAGAGAGAGAGAGAGAGAGAGAGAGAGAGAGAGAGAGAACCACGTCGAAGGCCGCAAGGGTGAGGATAGGGGAGTGAGTGGGAGGGGGGGGGGAGCACAGTGTTAAGGGCAGACCGCCGTAGGGAAGGATGCTCGAGTGCCCTTGTGAGGCCCTGAGGGTCGGCGGCTCAATCATCACCATCTGAAGGGCGCGAGGGGAGGGGGGGGGGGAGTAGTGCAACATGATGTGAAGGATAAAGGAAATACGGATAATGAGGGAGGATGAGCAAAGAGAAAGAGGGAGGAAGAGGTAGATAAACAATGAGGAAAGAGGGTGAGAAAACGTGTGTGTGTGTGTGTGTGTGTGTGTGTGTGTGTGTGTGTGTGTGTGTGTGTGTGTGAGAGAAGAGAGAGAGAGAGAGAGAGAGAGAGAGAGAGAGAGAGAGAGAGAGAGAGAGAGAGAGAGAGAGAGAGACGAGAGAGAGAGAGAGAGAGAAGAGAGAGAGAGAGAGAGAGAGAGAGAGAGAGAGAGAGAGAGAGAGAGAGAGAGAGAGGAGGAGAAAGAAAAAGAGCGAGAGAGTAAGAAAAGGAGCGAGTGAGAACGAGAATGAGGGAATGGGAGAGAGCAAAATCGAGAATGAGGAAGTGGGAGAGGCGGAGGGTGGCAGGAGAGGCGTAAGGCAGAGATGTATTACCTAGGCTCACCGAAGGGCAATAAAGGGAGGAAGCGTCAGTGAGAAAACTCATCATGTCGAGCAGAGTTATATATCAGTTTGTCCTCTCATCCCATTTTCTTTATACAGGGAGAATTAGGAACCATTCAAAGAATTATAAGTACTTTCTGTTCTTCAGTTCCTTTCATTCCTCATTAAACAATAAAACTGAACATGGGGAACATCCGTAAAGTGAAGCAAGAAAATCACAACAAAGAATTTAAGCTGAGAGAAAACAAAAGGAGAGGAAGGAATGAGAACAAAAGGAAGAAGGAGAGAATGGTGCTCACGGACGCAACAATACGTGATGATCGACCTCGGATTCCCACTTCCGCCCCCGCACAGGCCTACTCGCGGTGCGTGCACACACACACACACACACACACACACAAACACACACACGCAGAAACATATATTCTCTCTTTCCATCTCATACACACAAACACAGATAAACAAATTATCACATACACACATGCGCGCACATTCTCTCTCTTTCTCTCTCTCTCTCTCTCAAGCACACACACCCATCGACAGAGGCATACACACAAAATAACGGGGATACATCCAACACGCACGCAGACCTGCATAAAAGTGAAAATTGCCTTTGGATGCATGAGCGTCCTTTACACTATATATGGTAAAGGATTCCAATATTTTTTTCATAATAAAAATTTTCTAATGACACATATCAAAGATACAGACTTACCTTAAGCTTTTAATGTTCATATATATATATATATATATAGTATATATATATATATATATATATATATATATATATATATATATATATATTATATATATATATATATATATATATATATATATATATATATATATATATATATATATATTATATATATATATATATGTATGTATGTATGTATAAGATATGTGAGTCTCCAGGCATGCAGATAACAAAAGGAATATCAGAATGAGTCACATAATTTCAAAGACAAGTAAGAGAACAACACTTACCGAGGAGTCCTCTTCCTTTTCTTCCTTCTTCTGTTCTTCCTTCTTTTCTTTGAGTGCCTTTACCAATTTCCACTTACTCCCTGGCCCTCCCAAAGTCTTTAATTTAGCTGGTGTGGATTGCTGACTCTCCGCGCTTGCCGAGGTATCGCCCTCTACTGTTATTTCGGGTTTTTCTTCCTTTGTCTCGCTCATTACTTTGTCCGTCTCGGACTCGGTTTCTACTTTTGGAATGTCTTCACTAACTGTTGCAGCTTCCGGAGGCGTAACTGCCTTGTCTTCCGAAACTTCTTGGATAGGAAGCTCTGTTGGAATAGGCTCAGCCGGAGGAACCTCCTCTGTGGGCGTAATTTTCTGACCAAGGGCAAAGTCCCCAGCTTCTGGCTCCACTTCTGTAGCTGGTTGAGGAACCACAGGAATTTCTGCAACTTCATGTTGCTCCGAGATCTCTGGGACTACAGTTCTAACAGGCTCTGTTGGAGGCACTGGGAGTAATCGTCGAGGTGTAGCTTGTTCCACAGGCTTAACTGCCGGCACTGGAGCAACTTGAACAGCTGGTTGAGGCTGTATCGCAGGTGTAACAGCTGGTACAGGTACATCGTCTTCATCATCCTCCAGGTCTTCTTCAGGAGAGTCTGGGCCTGAGGTTTCACCTGACGATCCCTCATCATCAGAGTCAATCCTGGGTCGCACTACAGGCTGTGATGGGCGTGACTTCGCTGGCACCGCATCTGCACTGATCATTGAAAACACAGCACTTTCTTGTGATGCCTGTGTGTCCTGAGACTCAGAGTACCGAAGGGAACTCTGCCGACTGTCTCCTGTAGCAGAGAAGAAGGCGGATTCATTTGACTTTGCACTGGAGATGGTATCATCAAAGGGCTCCAGTTCAGTTCCTGGCATGTGTGACTCAATCATCTGTACTCGGCCCTGTAGCTCACACAAAACTACATTCATAAAGTTGCGCACATTATCATCTGGCTGCATCGGGTAACATTCTTCAAGTTCCGGTTCTCGCCACTGGTCAGCTTCCATGAGCTCTAATTTCCTAAGTTCATAGCGATACCACTCATCATCAGAGTCAATGGAATCCTCAGTGCTTTGCCGCCTTGAAGAACCACGCGACATGCGGAAGCTTCGCACAGAGCGGTTGTCATCTTCTTCTGAGAGTGTCCTCTGCGGAGGCAAGGCCAACCGGTCCTTGGCAGAATCTGGAGGGGAGCGTCTCGTGGGGTCTCTGCCTCGTGAAGGAGTTCCTTCAGCTCCTACAGACTCGCTGACGGACGTGTCACTATCGCCCGCCTCCCCCGACACGCTAATGTCGATATTCTTGTTGACGGGCTGTTGGAGTGTGGCAGCGGCGGCGGGGAGCACTCCGAATCCCGAGGTCACTGCCGCTGTTACAATCCTAGTGGTAGGGGCGGGCGCTTCCCCGTTTTTTGGCTGTAAATAGCCTGCATTTGCAGGGAAGTTTGGATCATAGAAGTCAAGAGAAGTATTAGCATTTGGTGAGACTGGGAAAAGGGTTGGGTCATGAGGAACTTGGGGGAAGGATTGTTGAGCTTGGCCAGGAAAGGGTATGGCATCACGTGGGAGTTGGGGGGCATTATAGGTCGGTGCTGGGGGACATGTACCACCAGCGGGAAGGGTCGCCTGGCCGCTCAAGGGAAAATTTACATTCGGTGGAATGTTTGCATCTTTATAGAATTGCTGCAGTCCAAACTGGTTGCCTGCATCACGATCTTGAGTTGTAGTATCTCGTGTTAGATCAGTTATATTATTGTTCACCTGCTGTAATTCAGAGGCTGCTGCATTATCCCTCTGGGAAAGTGTATCTTCTCCAGGGGGCTCGGAGGTGCAGGTCACCTGGGCCCACAGGGGGTCGATCCACAGGTAACTGGGAAGGCATGTCACCTGTTGGAAGAGGACTCAGTATCTGGTGGTTGCTGGGAGGACGAGACCCACTGTCTGACCCACTGCTGCTGGCGCGTGTAGCCTCCTCCGAGCCACTCTGGTCATCAGAATGGGCGGAAGTAGATGAGTGACGCTGCCTATATTTCCCGAGGGCTCTTGACACTGCGAACTCTCGCCGACCACCAGTCACACGAGTAGACCCTGATGACTGTTTAGGTTCTACATCCTTTTCTCGGCTGTCAGAACGCTTCAAGTCACCAACCGTTGGGAATAGTGATTCAGCATCAACAGTACTTGATGTGTCTTCAGCCGTGTCAGTCTGAGGCTCCTCTGTTTTGGCAGGGGGTTCAGGAACAGCCTCTCCAGATGGAATATTTTCCTTGCTACTGGAGGTAGAACTGTATTTCTTTGTTTGCTTCATGGTAGGAAACAAAGTATCTGCTGCAGTTGTTGTGTCTGACAGCAAACTACTGTTATCACTGTCATCATCCCAGATCGTGCGTCGGGGAATAGGTCGACTAATCTCCATGTCTGACTGTTCTGAATCCGAGAGGGATCTGAGAGAAAGGCTACTGCCGCGTCGCCGTGTCTTCTGCAGAAACCCTGACATAGTAGACATAATAGACCTGCTCTTTTTCTCTTTCCTCCTGCCTAATGTTGTTGCCTGATATTCCTTATGGCGAGGCTCATCCTCATGCATAGGACGAGAAGGTAGGCTATGAGATCTGGATCTCTTTCCCATGATGTCAATGCCAGGTATCATCTTAGTCATAGAGTTTAAGGCAGACTTCATGCTCGAGCCTCGCCGTAATTTCTTCTTCTCCTCCAGTGGAGCTTTTGCCTTGATAGGAACTGTCTCCTGAGTGATTGAAATATATCCTGCCTGAGAAACTAGGACATTGCTACTGTCGTAATAGGCATGATGAGGCTGGGCTTCTTGCACCAGCTGTCGATGCTCCTGGGCATTCTGGGGACTATATCTCTTGAGGTTAAGCTCGAGAGGCCTCTCAGATTTGCCGTCGGTCCACTGGTGTGAACGCAGATATTCCCCAGTAGCAGCAGGGACAGCTTGAGTATGTCTACGATTGTCATGGTAGCGGTCGTATCGACTCCTTGACCGTGGTGTGGGAGAAGGTCCAGGAGGAGGAGGAGCATCATGAGCTGCCGTGGAAAGAATATTCTCCATATTCCGTAGTGACCCTGACAAATCCTCACTCTTCAGTAATGGAGATTCTGCAACATTAGGCTGAGGTCGATATCTATCCTTTGGTGGATAAGTATTCATATAAGAGTCTGGAGATTCATATGGGGGTTCTCTTAGCATTGGGTTTGCAGGATCATACCCGTACATAGGTTTGTATCGGGATGTTCCTCCCTTTAAATTATCCTCCATGGGCACGTACCTACTAACAATATGTGAGGTGGGTGGTTGTGCTCCATAAGGTGGAGGCTGATTATAATTTGGCTGATACTTGTATTTGTGTCCATCTTTTCCTCCAGGACCAGATGAAGGATAGAAACTAGAGCTTGATGAATAAGAAGAAATAGAGTCAGAACTATCAGCACCAAAACTATTCCTAGCCTCTGGACGCCCAGGTTCAATTTCAGCTAAGTGGTCAAATCTCCTTGTGTGTTGACCTACAAACTTAAGCTCCCCAGCAGCATTCAAGTAAGCTGGTGTTGAATATTTGGGCTCATTGATATAGGGAGATGTCTGGTATTGCTGTTTACCCTGATACTTTCCCTCCATGCTTGGTGATACTGATAAACTGGAGGGATAAGTATCAGCCAGTGAGGTATTAGTGAGGAGTGAGGAAGAAGCCACACTGGACCTCGAACCCGTGTAGTAGTGAGAATATGTACTTGAAGTCGGTGCAGGAGGAGGAGGTGGGGCAGAGGAACTCATAAGCATGTCCTCAAGAAACATCTCATCAGCTTTACTTTTGCTGACTCTTGTAATGGGGTCAGCAGTGATTGCGTAAATACTGTATGTGCTAAAAGATGCCTCTTCAAAGGCATTCCCAGTTCGTGCTTTGGCACTTGTTCTTCTGGGACTGAGGGTGAGGTAGTCTGTGGGAATACTTGAGGTCACACCCAGGCCTGGCGATGATGATGGCTGAGATGCAGATATGTATGACGGCATCCGTTGATCTGCCTTCTCAGCTGACAGCGCCGTATTAACTATGTCAGGTTTTGAAGTTGATATGTGTAAAAAAGAAGTCGTTGTAGTTGGTTGTATAGATTCTTCAAGGATCGTTGCAGGGCTAAACATCTTTGTTTCTCTGAGCAATCCTTCCCCTGATGCGCTGAATTTGAAGTGATCAGTCTTGGGCCCTGTCAAGGATGCCGTTGGAAAGCTGATAGGAGCTGTTGTCGTTGTAACCGAGGCTAACATAGCAGCTGAGGTAGCGGACGGCAAATATATCTCCTCGAGCCTCTCAGTGCGGTCAGTTCTATATGGTGAGGCTCTCCTTCCAGGTCTTGGACTGGTAGGACTCTTCTCGATGCTTGAGGATGTGCTCATACTGCTGCTGAGTGTGGAGATGCCAGAGTCATATTTCCCAATTTCCGAGTATCTTATTGGTGACGGACTCTTGGTTGTCCTGGGTGACTTTGGACTTTTGGGGCTCTTAGGACTCTTTGGACTCATGAGACGTGGTGTGGCTCGAGGGCTGTGGCCGCTTACCTCCTTAGTAGTCATGAGAGATGGAGTTCCTGGCCTTTTCGGGTCGAAGCCTGTCGGTGTCACAGAGACTTTCTTAGCCCTTGTCGCGTCCTTGGGGCTTCCTGAGCGAGGAGAACTGATGTAACCATCCTGGCGCGTCCTCGAAGGTGCAAAAGGAGATGAAGATCGAATCTTTTCACTACTTGCTGTGAAGAATGTTGGTGATGACGTGCCCATTGATTTTTCCCCTGCAATAAGAGGATCTGGTGTTTTTCGCCCCATCATGCTAAAGTCTGACATACCCACAGTGTCTTTGGCTGCCCCTAAGGATGTGTCTGAAGATGGGAGAGGAGAAGGACCTTTAGGGAGATGATCACGCATATGCCGTGGAGATCCACTGGTCTTCATCCCAAGTGCGGCCATGATCTCTGAATCAGTGGCATTACTATCAGTTGACAACTGGGAATTTGGTCGACTCCTTTGTGGTTCTGTCGTTTTTGGACTGAAGGTCCAGTCATCTATATTGGAGTCAAGGTACATTTGACGTAATTTTTCGTCTACAACGGATTCTGTCAGTTTGTTGTCTATTGGCTGAGCTACAGTTGACACAGCAGCAGCAGCAGCAGCCACAGTAGAAGCTTCAGATTTGCTAACATGCCGTGGGGATGTTGATGTTGGTGAACCCAACTTTGGAGATAATATGAGCCGCTCCCGAAGATCACGAAGATTCTGAGAGTCTTTCAGTAATTTTGCACTTAATGCATCAAGTTCTTTGAGTTTTCCAAGTGCCACTTTATCCAGGGTTGTGAACTTGCGAAGTTCTTGAAGATCTTGCTCACTAATACAAGTACTGTGTCCCCTATAATCTTTGTAATCATCCGCTGTAAACACTTCATCTTTTTCATTTTCTTTTTCTCTTTCTTTCTCTTTCTTCCTCGCATCAGAAGAATCTGATTCTTTTTCAGTTTCTTCTAGGTCCCAAATCCTGGCCAATTCTTGGTCTGTAGACTCTGACACTTGTGAGAGGTTATCTCGGTGAGCATTGTTCAGACTCCGGTAGAAGGCTTCATCCGGGAGTCTGTTCTCAGAGTCATCAGATGAAGGAGCTGCTGCTGCCGCCGCTGCTGCCGCCGCCGCAACGGCTTCAGGAGGGATTATCGATGGTTCCTCCTTCTCTATCAAAAGAGCCTGAAGGTCAAATGCTGTGTAAAATTCCAGAAGCTGAGCGATCACCGCTTGTTGCTCGTACAGAAGGATCTCCAGCTTTTCAAGACGTTCCCACATCTTGACATACTCCTGAGAGAGCATATCGAGAGCGCGCCAGGCATAGCGCAATTCCGTCTCAAGGACGTTGATGCGCGTGCCCAGGCGCTCCATGTAGTCCCCTAAGAGCGTCTCCATACTGGCTAGGTAGGAGCCCGCGCCCGCGCCTGACCCTAATCCGGCCCCGGACCCTCCTAGGGCAGACTTTACGCCCTTGAGGCTGTCCATGACAAGGCCGGCAGGTTAGAGCCCGGACCCAGGTGATCCCAGGTCACGCCGGGACACCTCCGCGATCACAGGCTGCCCGGGCATGCATGCCATGGAGCTCACCTTCGCCGCTCGTCCTTGTGTCTTCCGACAAACGCTATGCTTACATAGTGTCTATTCATAGTAACACGAGTGAGAACTAAGCCATTACTAACCAGCGTTTTATTTTCATTAGTCTAAAATTCAATTATAACATATCTGTCACTTTGTTCCTAGTTTATTTTTCTACTTTCATATAACCTTTTGAAACAAGAAATTATCAGTATTATTAATAACTCACACAAGCACTACACAAAAGTTGGAAAAAGATTTCAACTACAGTCGCAGTTCTTGCGAGGATGTGTTGTGTTGTGATATGTTGCTTATCCAAAAAGTATCTAAAGTCAGTTCACACTTCTATAATCCTTGTAAATAAAAATGGAATATGCATGGACCAAAATATTTTTTTCTTTCTAAAAATGTCACTGACATATGGAAAATTCTACCTCAGTATTTTAAAAAATACCCGAAGGCTGCGTGTGGTATGAGGCCTCGGAGGGCGAGTTGCTGGCTGACCTGTAAACAAAGAGAAACCAATCATGACACACGGTTCAAGGTTGTGTGGATGCCTGTGGTTCAGATGGATTTTTTCGTTTTTTACACTAACAAAAGGAGGAGGATGAGACGTTGAAGAATATTCGACAATTGTTTCAAGTACACGACAATATCCCTTTCATGGTTATGCCCTCGACGGTATTTTAGGAATAATAATACGTATTTTTTTTAACCAAATGGTAAATTACCGTACTTTTATGATACAGACGGTAAAGTGCAGAAAATAACGAGAACCAATAAACACGCCAACCCGGGTTTCTCCACACCACAGGCAGTACCATTCCCTACCAATACCATACGAAAAACAAAGATGTAATCACCTCTTATCCTCTCCCCAAGGAGCTCCTCTCCCCAGACAGCTTCCCTGAATTGACTGATCTGCGCCAATACCCGGGATCCGCGACTGGGATAGAAGCCCGTGCTGGTCCATTGTTGCTCCAACGAAAACTCGCGGTTCATCCCACTAATCAACAGCGAATACTGCTTGCGTGGCATTACCCTGCCGTTGCTACGGTGATGGCGAAGAGATGCGCTGATGGCCGGTGTTAAGCTCCCCTGTTGACTGGGTAATATGGTGTCCGCGTGGGTGAAACGGCACTCTATGTTTCGGGTTGGCTTTAAAGGAATTCTTAACGCAGGATCGTCTATTATTCAAAGCTATGCACTAACGGGCACTTTTACACCCATTTTGAAAGCGAAGAATAAACATTTCAAAAAAGAAAAGAAAATGATTTGGTGGAAATGAGAGATGTCAACAGTATCCACTTACTCTCCCCTCCACTAATCCGCGGGAAACGACGTCCCCAAAAGACCAGTTGGTTCTTAATGTCTATCCTCATTATCTGTCGTCCTCGCCGGATCTCTCCTTCGATCGCCCTGACCTCAAGCCTCCGTCTCTCCATCGAACGACTTCTAAACACTGACATCGGCGACGTATCGCCTATTTACACCGACGTCATAAAGCAAGCAGAAGTTATTTCGTGACAAAACGCCGTCGTATATAATGAGAAATTACACCGGAGACATTGTTGCGGATGACTCTGGCCCAATAGACGCCAATATTCTCCTGATCTAAACCCTTGCCTGAGCATTCCGCCTCTTGGATTTATATATATCACTGCGGCACTGCTCACTCGCTTCTGGAAGTTTCACAAAAAGAAAGTTATTGGCAAAGTTAACGAGTGCGCCCGATCTTAATAACTTTGTCTCTCAACTTTCTTTTTCCGCCTCTTCCAATTCTTCCTTTGCACGAAATCTTGACTGTTTCCCGGGAGTTGAGGTCGCATATGAAAAGCAGCGGCGTGTTTGGCTTCCGAGAGAGAGAATGTGCAACATGCAATAATGCCGATGACATTCGCATTCCGGCCGGAAGAGCAAAGACATTCCCCGAGGAAGTGAGGACATATTTTTTTTGCCTGGGGAATAACGGCGTCATCTCCATAATGCGGTGATTAAATAGAAAGATAGAGAAAAAAATTATCCAAGAAAAATGGGTTAAAAATGATGACGGATGGCGGACGAAACGAAAAGAAAGGGAACCGAAAGAAGCGAGAGTGATCAACGAGCAAATCTTTTTATACTTGAAGACTACGAAGCAGCGGGAGCCATTGTTGAGACTCGTACGGATCCCAGACGTTTCTGACGCAGACTGATAACTGTTGAGGCTTTGTAGTGGAGATGGCGGCGGAGTGTCGTTATCGCTGTAGCGGAGACACACTCCCTCCGCCTCCGCCTCTCTCTCTCTTTATCATTAGCTCTTGTTTTTACTATTTTGGTTTTAGCTTAATGTGTTTTATGCACAAAAACAGAATAACCAAACAAACAACCACATATATGCTTACACACACAAATACGCTTATACACTTACACACACACACAAACAAACAAATGAATACATACACTCATACCCATCTGTCCTTCATTCTCTTTCCCTCTCTCTCTTTCGTCGGCTTTCATTTTCTCTTTTGGTCCATGCCGCTCGCTCACGCTCTCTTTCTACCCTATCTCTCCTCTCCTCTCTCTTCTCTCACTCACTCTCTCTCTCTCTCTTCTCACTCTCTCTTCTTCTCTCCTCTCTCTCCTCACCTTCTCCTTCTCCCTCTCCCTCCATTTCTCTCTCCTTTCTTCCCTTATACCTTCCCCAGCATTCACCTTCCCCAATCCCCTTGAAGCATCCGCCGCAAATCTCGCCCTATATGGTTACAGCACGAGAGAACGCGGGCGACCGGGCAGAACATGTGTGTCCGTTCTCACAGCAACGCCGCAAACACATATTCACATACATACGCTTGAGTACAATAGCCCCCAAAGAAGATAATAGTAATATGTTACTACTATATGTTCCTGCTCTCTCCCCCAGGCTACTGTCCTGTAGGACCTGAGAAATACAAGGAATATACCCCCCTTTTTTCTCTCTGTAAATAACACTCTGGTTAATGTTGTAATTAGAATTCTAGATTCCTCTGCTGAACATATTACCGAGAACTGACAGATGCCAAGGCGGGTCTGCGGTGTAATTTCACAGTCGTATTCATCATGATCGTAATAAGGTAGAGAAGATAGATTTGTAAATTAGATCTTAAATACAACCCTGGATAAACTGGAAAAAAAACGAAAATGAATTTTCCCGAGAATATATAACGTGAAAAAAACTCGCCATTAACCCTACTGGAAATAACAGGCAAGATAAACGAAATCGAATCGAAACGAGAGGGGAAAATCATTCAATCAACCAGAGCGCAAAAGGACAATCAGATAATGAATGACCTGATCCGCCGCGATCCGAGCGCGACCCGACCCCGACCCGCCCTCGCTCCCCTCGCCGCGCGCACGCGTCAGCAGCACACACCGACTCGCACTGATAAACCCACATGATAAGAGAGATTCTACCGCCGGGAGCCTAATCACGCCGCATCCATCATTCTAATGATATGCTGCCCTCTGTTCAACAACCCAATACCCCATACGGACTGGCTAATCAATATGGCTTTCCAATCTCGCCCGGCCGTCAGTCAGTCAGACCTCAAAGATACACAAACGGACGGTCCATCTGTCAGCTCGTTTGGCCAGTCAGGTTTGCAGTCTCTTGGGCAATTTGTCATCCCGTCTGTCATCCAGTCACTCCGTTAGCTAACCGGCCAGTCAACCAGCCATTCAGTCGATCAGGAAGTCATCCATACAGCCAGTTACCAGGGCAATCTAACCATCCAGCCAGTTATTCATCTCTCCGTCCATTCACCTATTTATTTATCAATTCATCCATGCATACATTCACCCGTCTATCTACTAACTCACCCACCCATCCTTCCTTCATTTGTTCCCTCCATGCATCCATTCTTCCCTGCTTCCATCCACCCAATCATCCTTCCTTCATTTTTTCCTTCCCATCATTCTTCCTCTTCATCCACCCAATCTCATCCTTCCTTCATTTTTCCCCTCCATACATCCTTCTTTCCCTCCTTCCATCCATCCCTTCGTCCTCTCATCCCATCCTCTCCATCCTCCCCGGTTCGACATTTCTCCGCTATCGCCCCGACAGCATTCTCAAAATTCAATGGTTCTCCCCGTGGGGTCGCCAAGCATTTTTATTGCGATCGTGAAGTTCTATTTTATCGTTCTTTTTCTTTCTTCTTCTTTTTTTATCCCTCGCTTCTGTCAAAACATGGTCGTTCGGCGTTTGCTGCGCTGTGATCGATGTATGTCAGTGGCGCTGATTGAATTGAAGTGGGATTGTGTTTATGGTAATGATGGTGGCAAAGGTAGGGGGAATGGTAACAATGGCAGTAATGGTGATCGAAAATGATCATGTTATAAAATCTATTAATAATGGGGATAATGAGTGATTGTAATAATTAATGATATAATAATAATAATAATAATAATATAATAATAATAATAAATATAATGATAAATATAATAATCAATAAATAATATAACGATAGAAATGATAATAATAATTCATAATAATAATAATAACAATAACAATAATGATAATCATAAAAATAATAATAACGATAATAATAACAATGATAATAATAATGATAATAACAATAATGAGAAAAACAACAAAAACTAAAATAATCATAAAAGCGAGGACGACGATAACAATTCCAAAAAATGCAAAGCAAGCAATAATCATCAGTAATCAATCTGATCGCACGAGTCCAAGAACTGCAAAGTTGCAGACGCTAAAACAACATCAAAGGGAAAGCCTTCTCGAATGATGGCGACATTAACGGTGATATTTGCACAGAAATTCTTAGATCAGCTTTCTCATCATTCTGCGTCAATAAAACGGCGATGGAAATGTGATAAATTCGCCAAGGAACACGATGAGAAATGGAAAAAAAATCATCTAAATTATTCAAAGAGAAGATACAATTATGCGAGAGTGTAGAGTAATGATACACTTTGCAGAGGACGAAAGAAAGAAAGAAAAAAGAGACAAAGATAGAGAAGATGAAAAAAGAATAAAGTATACATGTTACACATACTCACACACACACATAGATAGATAGATAGATAGATAGATAGATAGAGAGAGGAGAGAAGAGAGAGAGAAGAGAGAGAGAGAGAGAGAGAGAGAGAGAGAGAGAGAGAGAGAGAGAG